GTAATCCCTTCGAAACAAAAATAAGGTCATACACTTGAATATGTATGATCTCTTGTAATGTAATCCCTTCAAAACAAAAATAAGGTCATACACTTGAATATGTATTCTCTCTTGTAATGTAATCCCTTCAAAACAAAAATAAGGTCATACATTTGAATATGTATGCTCTTTGTAATGTAATCCATTCAAAACAAAAATAAGGTCATACACTTGAATATGTATGATCTTTTGTAATGTAATCCCTTCAAAACAAAAATAAGGTCATACACTTGAATATGTATGATCTCTTGTAATGTAATCCCTTCAAAACAAAAATAAGGTCATAAACATGAATATGTATGCTCTCTTGTAATGTTATCCCTTCAAAACAAAAATAAGGTCATACACATGAATACGTATTCTCTCTTGTAATGTCATCCCTTCAAAACAAAAATAAGGTCAAACACATGAATATGTAGATCAGAGAAGAAATTCAACAAATATGATTATACACTGTGTGAAAGAAATTTTTCCCTCAAACTGAACGAATAATACTTTGAAGAAAAACCTGAAAATACAAGTTTTTGTTCTACATTTCATATGATTCACCTAGAACTCAAACTTGTCTGTAGTACTTTAGTTAGATATTTTTCCCCCTTTTGGTGGAAATAATTAACATTTATTTGCAGTACTTCAGTCTCATATAATCTTCAAACAATTTTCAGCACTTTAATTTCATACAAATTTCTACAGGGTAGGGACTAATTATATCTCAAACTAAGAATAATTTTTATCATAAATGCATGTTTGTATGAAATGTTTCAATTTGTTAAATATATACAAGATATGTTATTCCAAATTGCATGTATGGTGGATAAAACAAACAGTTAATTACACAAACTTGGAAGAATAAAGTTTCTCTTACTTGAGCTGGCGCATCCTTTCTTTATACCTGGCTTTTCTTTGCTCATACTTAAGTGTAAATATCTCAAGCTGTTGCCCCTCTGAAGAAAGCTGAGTCTGGAGTTGATTAATTTCACCCTGAAGTCGTTCAATTTTCTCGGCCATGACCGATTCCTGAAAATTGTTTCAGATACCAAGTTAAGAAAACAGAGTTTGACAAAATTTGAAATAACAGTTGGTAATTTTGAACTGAATGAAACTAAGCTGCTAAATCAAAGACACTTAAGGTTCAGGCATAGCCAACCCTAATTTTGAACTGCTGACACACGGCAACAAATCAGCAGCACCCATCACAGTTATAATATCCCAGAGCAGAAAATGCACAGAATATTCAAGGACAAATCACGACTAACTGATCCATAGCCCCGAACATTAACAATTAGGTCCCAACAGGCCTAAATTTTAGATATACTTAACAGTTTAACAAAACATGAAAATTCATTTACATGTAAAGATAAAAAGAAAAACTAATACTAAAACTAAAACAAATTAATAGGAAATGACATAAAAGTTTTATAAAAACAACATATAAAATTAAAATAATTTGCTTCAAACACAACTTAAAGTTTACACAAATGTACAAGTGCTTGAGTTCTTTAAGGCAAGTTAATTAGCTTTCTGATATCTATATTATGAGTTTAAACATGTCTATCCCCTTTTCAAAACTTTTCATGTCTGGTAGATGTATGTATTCATACAGCAATGCCACATCGGGCTATCTACTCTGTCCACCAAGGGGAATTGAACCCCTCATTTTAACATTGTAAATCTGAAGACTTACCGCTGTCCCACCAGGAAACGTGGCTGGTAAGTGTTTACCGTTTCTTATTGTTAAATATGTGAGACGAGGCATACTGCTTTTGTAAATTTTTTGAAACAAGTTTTGTTTCTATACATCCCAGCATTGGAGTAGAAGGAAGTACAGTGGGGGTAATTGCTAAGTGTTTTTTTTATATTCTAATCCCTTCCCTGATTTGCCCGATATAACTCAAATACCCTCCACGTTTCAAAAAATATTTACCCGAGTTAATAAACAATTTCTCAACATATTTTTTATTATCTGTCCAAGTTTGTTTGCATGTTATCAAGTATAAAAATCAGTGCTTGATAGATGGCACTCAAACTGCTGTTTGTGTTGAGCTCTATCAGAATTATCTGAACTATATACCATAATCACTGGAGAAAAGTATTCCTATTCTTTACTGTAGTTTCATTGAAATAATATATATATATATAACATATAAATACAAATATGTAACAGTTTATTTTATGCAGAATTATAACAAAAGATCCTAAAAGCCTTTTGTTTCATTAATATATAAATATAGGCTATCAAAAAATGAAACTAAAAAATTAGACTTTTTTTAGCTCATTTCCAAAAAAAGCCTGACACAGATGGGGTTAATGAACATTAATAGTAGAAATTGTAACTATTTAATCAATACTAATTTCTTTGGTAGTTGATTGTCAGTCCCCAAATTCCAAGGATCTATGACCACATTCCCAACAACAATAACCACTCATGGAAACAGTGTGATTGATCAAGATATTTACATGAAAGGATATGAGAAATTAATTAAAAAACCAATACAGAAGAAGACAATGTGGCAGCAGAGAAAGTTCCCAAAGGTCATTAAAGATAAAGCCATAAAGATCATAATCGTGTAATAACACATAAACAGGTCTGTAAACATGAATAAACAGATTTAGTGTAACATTGACAAAATATAAGACTCAAAATAAAAAAAAGGCCAATGAAAGGCTTTTTACAGCAAAAGATTAACTGCACATGTAAAATATATGAAAACGCTTCTTATGGAAGGACAGACTTCATACAAGTGCTAGACAGTAATCTTTGAAACAAGTAAGAAAGTGTAGATACTCTGGAATGTAAAAAAAATTTACATCTCATGACTAATTATTCTTCATTTGGAAAGAAGATTGCTTCACATCAACTGATTAAGCTGGAAGTGGTAGTAAGTGTAAATTTTTCTATTATTTTAACTTTTAAAAATTGCTAAATTTAACTAAAATAGAAATGTTTAAATCTTTGCTGAGAGATCATTTAGATTTAAATTTATTTTTTAAGTACTTTCCTGAAATAATAATTATATAACTCAATTATCTCACCTGATGTGAAGATTTTCTGTAATCCAAAGAGGAGTGAAAAGAGTCCATCTGTGATGATTTCTGCACCACCATGGATTCTCCTATATGTCATTAGCACAAAATTACATAGTGACTTTATATGTATACACACACAAACATATATATATATATATATTCAAGAACATACTTCAGTTTCAAAGTCAAACATTTTTTATGTTTTGCATATGTTTTTATTCATTTGTTCTAAATTAATAATAATAGTTTTTAAAAAATAATTTATTTTATTTTATTTTATCAAACACTACCCTGAAAAAAAATACAAGATAAATAAAAAATTGGGAATTTAAAGACCTGTAAATATGAATTGCAAAGAAAAGTAAAAAACCAATGCTGGAAACATTGTAGACTTTATTTATTCAAATTAAAAATCCCTAATTTGACTCCATCAAATGCAATTGTAACAGCATGGAGCCAAAATAGGTGTTTGTGAGTAGATGTCTATAGTACCTTCACCTTGTTTCCTTACTTATTTTTTCGATCCCAATCTGCAGATTTTTAAAGTTCCAATTTTTTTATTTATCTTGTTTGCTGGCTATTTTTAAACTCAATCATGGGCAAAACATTACTTGATATGGTAGTTAACTTTATATATTGTAACAATAATAAACATAGATATTAGCTAGCTGATACAGTTCATGATGATTTACTGTAGCTGTTGACTACTTGATTGCATTAGTTCAAGATGTAAAATATTGAGCTGCAGCTAGAGATTTGTTTGAGAATATAGTAAGCATTTATAGTTTCTGTGTAACTAAATTATCGATATATAATGCATAACAATTGGTAAGTATAAGCCTAGACTAAGACACAACCCCCACTAAGCACATATAAAAGTTTACCAGTATAAAAGCAGCCTTTTCAGATTAAACATATACATCTAAAAAATTGCTTTAAATAAACCTGTGTCTGTTAAAGCAATTATTCTATGAATGTGTGTAATAAAATGTAATATTATGTGTATTGATTTTTTTTTACTCCTTCACTTCATACATAATATAGGGGTTGGCTCCCTAAAAACAATGATTGTATAGTGTACAAAGCATTAAGTATCTACATGTTACAGTCATCTAATGTTCATCTATTATTGGCTGATAATTCCTGTTTCACCATGTACTTAAGCTTTTTAAAGGAAAACCAGATATTTGTTAGAGAGCTAACTTCAAGTGGTAATGAGAACATTGTTTACACTATAATTATGATGTTTTTAGCTCATGTAAAATATAGAAGTAACAAATACTTTTCAATACCGCTATGACCTTCGCAGTACCTTATTTAGTATTCTACAAAATATTTAATGCAAAATCCAAAGCCATTTTTCTTGTAGGCTGGCAAGAGAATAATACTGATAATAATGAATGAATCTAAGTTTGAAATGGACAGCAACTGCTTGTTGTAGAAACCTACAAATGTAGAGGACGATGTTTCGAAAGTCTTCCGCCTTTCATCTACACTTGTAGGTTTCTACAACGAGCACTTGCTGTCCATTTGAAACTTAGATTCATCATGCATACTCTGCCTAAACAACCTATCAAAGATTACAATAATGATAATAATTACAAGTAAGCATTTTTATGTGTATACATCCTTAGCAGTTATTAGTAAAGGTTTCAACGTATCATTTGAACTGAATCTTTATTGTTTAAGGTGCTTTTTTTTGCCTGAACGTTCTATTAGGGTTTTGTACAATTCCTTGCAATCTCTATTATGAACCACTATCAAGTATCTATATACTTTACACACATTTCCTTCCAATGCATGATACAGATAATTCTTTTCTATAGATTTCTTTCACTTTATATATCAACAACTTCTAAATTCCATGCCAATTTCACACCAACAAATACACATTATATTTAATATATATTTATGCAAAATAAAGTTCTTGTTCATTAAAACTTCATTGTACATGGGTCTAGAGTTATCTTCTTTATTTTTTCATTAGTTATCATATTTTTGATCAAAGGTTACTAATAACTTATTAAATTTGATAAAGACCTGGGAAACACTAAATGAACAAATTTTATAAACTTAACATACATACATAAATAAACAGTCTTTTTGATGATACTGTTTACTGCTAATATAAAATGAAATTTTCAAGTTAGAGTGTTATAATTTTGGTTAAAATAATTTTTTGTTAAACAAATATATTAATTTCTATAATAAAAACACATACATTTTAAATAGTTAATGATGATGAAGCTGTATGTGGTGCACTAATCTATACACAGTGTAATTTGATAAGTGTAATTAAAGTTACATTAGTGTAATCATTAGTGTAATTCCATGCTTTTCAAGGCCTGGGAAATAGGTATACCAATATTACTATGCTAATTACTGCTAATCATTAAAATTAGTGTAATTCCATGCTTTTCAAGGCCTGGGAAATAGGTATACCAATATTACTATGCTAATTACTGTTAATCAGTAAAATTAGTGTAATTCCATGCTCTTCAAGGCCTGGGAAATAGGTATACCAATATTTCTATGCTAATTACTGCTAATCAGTAAAATTAGTGTAATTCCATGCTCTTCAAGGCCTGGGAAATAGGTACACCAATATTTCTATGCTAATTACTTGCTAATCAGTAAAATTAGTGTAATTCCATATTATTCAAGGCCTGAGAAATAGGTATACCAATATTTCTATGCTAATTACTGCTAATCAGTAAAATTAGCGTAATTCCATATTATTCAAGGCCTGGAAAATAGGTATACCAATATTTCTATGCTAATTACTTGCTAATCAGTAAAATTAGTGTAATCCCGTATTCTTGAAAGCCTGAGAAACAGGTGTACCAAATTCCATACCTTAAAAGAATTTTCATTATCTTTATAAATCCTGAGCATTATTTATTTTGAATATTACATAAAGTAATTGATTTTTACATATTACAAACAGAACACTAACATCGACATGGTTTTGTAGTGAAGATTATCACAAAAAAAAATACATTCTAGTAATAACAAATGGTTATTTTAAAAGTTTTGTTCTCATTAATATAATCATTCATAGGGACTAAAACTAAGACAGTTACTTGATTTTGACATCTAAGTGTAGTCATAACTTTTTTCACTGTGACTTTCCAAAAACACAAAGATCCCTTTTCTTGTCTTGTTTACATTCATTTCTTTAGTGAGTTTATGAGCATCACTAAAAAGAATTATAAAAAACACACCTAACTCACGATAAAACCAATATTTCTTACAACACCTGATACAATACGTACTTCTTGCTTTGGTTTTCTCCTTTCTTAGGTAATCCTCTAGTTCATCATACTGTACAAGAGATTCTGAAAGCTGATCACAGCCAACATAAATATTAAACAACTACTACTCAAACATTCAAATCTAAAATATACAAAAAAGAATGGTTTTCAGTTTTCTGTGAATAAATTCAGTAGTCAATTAGTAACAAAACAAATACCTTAAATGGAGAAGCAATAAAATGTTTCAAATACAATCATTAATAAATCTAATTTGTAGCATCTTAAAACACTCTGAAAATAAACATTTAATCTGTGAACCTGAAACACAATGTATTCTTACAAGCTTCAGTTTTATATTTTATTACCTGTACACTTATTTCACAGTTAAAACGAAGCAGATGTACACTTTGACTGTACTTCAGACTCATTAAAGATACACATTACAGCCAAGGCTAATTAGATGTACACTTAGATTATATTACAGACTAAGCAGTAGTTCAGATTACACTGACTTACACTCACAATAAATAAAAATTAAGATTCTAAACTTTAAGCTTTTCGTTTGCCATATAATTTAACAAAAGCTTATGCTGTCAATAATTATCATTATTTACACTAAAATCTATAGGAAAGAAATCCATTTAAGTATCAATCTCACACTACTCACGAAATACACAAACACTTGTGTGATTCATTTTCTGCCAGAATGATTTTAGACAGGTTTTGCAAATTCACTAATCTATTTAAAAATTGGTAAATCAAAGTATCAATACACTGTAGGCTATTTCCATAACTATACTTTTAGTACATTATATTCTTTATGTAATATTACTGTAATGAAAAATTGTAAACATGATCGTTTTAAACAGTTTTGAGATACATTTGTATGCACTACTGAATGAAATTCTCAATATATGTGATATAAAAGTTTAATGTAAACTTACCCACTATATTAAAACTTATTATAAACCTGTACATGCACTAAAACCAAGTTGGCCACCTTCATATTGTGTCTGATGATTTTAATGAAAAAATCAGGTTTGCCCCTTGTATTATATTGGATTGTTTTAACTGAAACAAGTGGGCCATTCTCATATTACGTTTGACGACTAATTAAAACCAAGTTGGCCACCTTCATATTGTGTCTGATAATTTTAACTAAAACCAAGTTGGCCACTCTCGAATTGTATCTGATGATCTTAACTAAACCCAAATTGGCCACTCTAATGGTGTGCCTAATGGCTTTAACTACACCAAGATGGCCACTTTCATGTTGTGTCTGATGGTTTTAACTAAAACCAAGTCTGCCACTTGGTTTTTGTGTCTGATAATTTTAACTAAATCCAAGTTGGCCACTCTGATATTGTGTTTGATGATCTTAACTAAACCCAAATTGGCCACTCTAATGGTGTGCCTAATGGCTTTAACTACACCAAGATGGCCACTTTCATGTTGTGTCTGATGGTTTTAACTAAAACCAAGTTGCCCACTATCATATTGTGTCTGATAATTTTAACAAAAACCAAGTTGGACACTCTTACATTGCTTATGATGATTTTAACTAAAACTATGTCTGCCACTCATATTGTGTCTGATGGTTTTAACTACACCAAGATGGCTACTTTCATGTTGTGTCTGTTGATTTTAACTAAAACCAAGTTGGACACTCTTACATTGCTTATGATGATTTTAACTAAAACTATGTCTGCCACTCATATTGTGTCTGATGGTTTTAACTACACCAAGATGGCTACTTTCATGTTGTGTCTGTTGATTTTAACTAAAACCAAGTTGGACACTCTTACATTGCTTATGATGATTTTAACTAAAACTATGTCTGCCACTCATATTGTGTCTGATGGTTTTAACTACACCAAGATGGCCACTTTCATATTGTGTCTGTTGATTTTAACTAAAACCAAGTTGGACACTCTTACATTGCTTATGATGA